CCCTTGCTGCCCGGAGGGGGCCCGCCTGCCACTTCCCTCTCCATCTCAGCTCTGCTTACTGAGAGCAGTCAAACGGAGGCGACGTGGATAATGGAGCGTAATGTATAAACATATTAGCTCCCAGCTGTTTGTTGGGAGAAACATTATGTATGGAGAGAAGGGCAGCTAGACGACGGGCGATGAAGCTGCAGGAGGATTTGACCAAAAAGGAACAAGCTTCTGTAGCCTTTGGAAAACTAGAAGCTAATAATCAAACCTTTCTTGGTGAAGTCCATCTTTCAAGTAGATATTGTTTAAGCCTGTGTCTCAAACCATCTGCTCTCAACCTGGGGTCCGGGGCCCTCACAGGGTCTTCAGCTGCCAGATGACGACACGGTTAAATTCCTGTAAGGTTTACATCAGGACAAATGATCCGAGAACGTGTCAAACCACACCTCTACATGTGGACACAAACATCCAGTCGTCACCCAAACCTCCCCTGAATGGGAGTCTGGGCTCTGTGTGCACCAGAAGCCCTGCTTTAAATAACAATACGGCCCTTATTCTGCTCGTGTTTGTGGCGCTAGAGGGCTGAGGTGCTCTGGGTGCACTCTGAGAGGCCCGGCTCTGATTTATGTCATGTTTGCTCCCCACAGCTTTTAGACTTCACACACACAGCCGCGCTCCATAATACAGAGAGCCTTTCAGGTAATAAGGAAAGAGAGTGTGTGTGTGTGTGTGTTGTGGCCCCCCCATGGATTTAGATGATTAGAAAAACCAACCCTACTGAGCAGCTGGATGGGGAGGCGATCATTCAGAGTGGAGGGGAAATAAGGACACAAGAGGGGGACGGATGGAGTGAACTGTCACCAGAAAACAGGTTGGACTTAAAGAGCCGCGGCTTCGTGAACACTCACATTTCTCTCCCCTACTGAAATAACTCGGTCCTCTATTTCCAATAAATTACCTCCTGTGGTTCAAGTGAATTAGCAGAACCTCATCTGGGGTTTTTCCACTGAATTACCTGGACTTCACTCTTTATTTCAGTTTAAATAGTTGAACCTCCTTCCTCTATTTCCACTAAACCACCCCAACCCGATTCCCTTCACTTCTCCTCTGCTGCTTCATCCCAGTGTCTCTACTTGTAAGCTTCTAAACTGACTGTGGATACTGAATTTAAGTCTCTGGTGTGGCATCAAATTCACCATATTGCCAAGTAACTGGGCAAAGGCCTCATTTTTCTAACATCCATCCCAAACACAGACCGTTGCCGATAACAATGAAACACTCTCCATCGGGTTTTCACATGGAGCAGAATGACATGGCTGCAGCCTGAGGTTAGGGATGATTTTAAAGCTTTGATTTAAAATACCAACTGGGTGTCACTTCATATAAAAAAAGAAATAAATAAAAACTTTGAAAAATACCAAATCAAAGGAGCCCACTGAGTTAGAGATGCCCAGCTGCACCCGGACACAGAAACGTCCCATATGGGTGCACTGTTCCTCCTGCTACCGATTCAGGGGGATCCCACAGAAACATCACGGTCAGATCTGAACAGGAGCAACACACCAAACTGAAAACTCTCTTTCGAGCAGCAGAAACACACCACAGGAACAATCAAGGATCTTCCTGAAGTGTGAATGTGCAGCTTTTCTCACTTTTAGATGAGCACCTGTCCGCAACACTTAGACTCTGCAGGTCGTTCTCCTGCAGCTCCCGACATACCTTTGCTGGTAGGCGGCGATTCCCTGAACGCTCTGCGGGGTCCCGTTCGTGGCTCCGGGCACCGGCACGGGTACCCGACCCACCGGGGGTCCCGTCACCATCCCACCGCTTCCGCCGCCTCCTCCTACGCCTCCTGCCCCGGCTCCGCCGGCTCCCGAAGCCGTCACCTGGACGCTGAAATCCGGAAAGATCCTGATCATGGCTCCGGCCTGTCCGATGCGCACTCGCGTCTAGTTTAACGTCCCCCGGCTTTTCCTTCTTCCTCCCAACACAGACCTGTCACCAATCACTGGGATGAATAGAGGCGTTGATTCTGCAATGGAAGATAAACAACAATATTCTTTTCTTGTTTTTATTCTTCTTTAGACTTCGGACACAACTCTCAAGCAAATCCGGCTCATGGTCTCGGTGCGCAAAACAAATAATCAGTCACCAACCAACGAACTAACAGACAAACGGGGGCTAGTGAATGTTTAGCGCACTCACAGAAAAGATCATAACCGTTTGCTTCTGAGGTTTCCTCTCCTTCTTATTGACTCTATCCTTCAGAGATCATCCCCGTGCTGCTCCGGATCATGGTCCCGGTGCCTCCTCGGGTGCGCGCGGTCTCCTCCTTCTCTCTTCTCCTACTCAACAATCAATGGGATCAATGGATCGGTGGACCTAAGAGGGGATTTTGTCACCGACTGAAGACAGAAGAACAGTCATGTCCGTGCTGTCTTCTCCCGTTGCAGGAGCTCCGGACTCTCCTTTCTCACGCGGGCACCGCCGCCAGTTCTCCACCCGAGAAAGGCATCGTGTCCCCGCTGTCCTCCGCCTGATGTCCGCGGTGGGTCGGTGGGTGTCTGTGGTGGGAACCGAGGAGCTAGAGGAATGCGGTCGTTGGGTCAGTGAGCGCGCGGTTCTTAGCAGCACGAGCGCAGCAATGACAGTGGAACAGCGGCGGCGGCAGAGCCAGAGTGTGTGTTGGTATGTCAGCGAGCGCCTGCGTGTGTGCGCGCTGTCCTCTGCGCTCCACATGCAGGGAGAGAGAGAGGAGAGAGAGGGGAGGTGGGGAGAGAGAGAGAGAGAGAGAGATTGAGTGATAGTGCTGTTTGTTCAGCGGGAGGACATTTCCTCTGGCTTTACTGTGCCAAATAACGCGGGAGCTGTAAACTGGACTTGTATCAACGGCAGCGCCCACAACAATGAGCCCGTTTCAGAGAAAAGAGCTCGTGTTCATTAGCGATGTGTTTACCTCGTTAAGTCTTCAGATGGAGTTCAATGGCTAAATAAACAGGTCTACATCAAAACTTCCTCGAGGAAACGAGGGGAACCGAGTTTGAAGTGAACGAGCCTTAGAACTTGAACAAAACGCGCAGCAGTTCCAAAGCCTTGATTTTGGAGCAGACTCCATCGCGCTCTGTTGCAACCTTCATATCAAATCCACGCATTTTAAGCTCACAGGAAGTGGATAAGAATTTTATTTCAACCTCGGGACTTCCAGTATTCCCAGTGTTACTGTGGCAGCGTGGGAATGAAGCCACAGAAGAGGGGCTGCTTCATTTGATTTGTGTGGCCAAAAAGACGCACGGAGCTGAAGTCAAAAAAGTGTCAGTGTCTGTTAATGAATGAGGTGCGTTTGAGTGAATCAGGTGTGTGCGAGTGTGTGAAGTGTGTCCAGCTGCAGCAGCTCTGCTCTCCTCTCACTGTGTGTGATCAGACTCCTCAATTAAGTCACATTCACTCTCTCTCACTCTCTCTCTCTCTCTCACCGCCTCCTCCCCTCTCTCACTCAAACTCTCCACCTTCTCCCTCTCAGCTCAGTTCTCTGAACTGTCCACGTCTCACAGTTGTTTGGTCACTAAATTCAACTACAATAAAAACCTCTCAATCACTGTATTGTTGTGTTTCTAGTGGCCGTGGTTCCTGTGGTGTCACTGCCAAATCCAGACTTTGTACAAAAAAGGAACCTATGATTTCTGTTGGCATCACATGAAATCAACGCCGTTCACATTAGGGCATCTGAGGATTTCCTGGACACATCCAGAACCACGTCCCAGCCATCCTCAATGTCACACTGGGCTGATTGCACCCTGTTACTTCCAGTTGTACAGAGCAACTTCACCCAGTGATGAATGTGATGTGAGGATGTGGATCCAGGAAGTGGACCTTGTTGTCAGACTAACAACAGAACCTGCTGCTCATCCCAATGCCAGACAAAAACACACTCATGGTCACAAGAGCGACTGATTAGCCTGGTTTGGTCCAGTTTGGGTGACTGTGGTCACGACTGGCAGAACAGTCGGTTCTTTAAAGAAATGTTAAACGAGCACTTACTGGCTTTTTTAAGAGACTGACATGTTCAGACGTGTCAATCTCTTAGCCTATTGCTTAGCATCAGCCTCCCTGTCTGTGCTTCAAAGCAGACTTTCCAAAGTGGGTGGAGCAGTGGTTAGCCTGTCACCTCACAGCAAAAAGGTTCTGGGTTCGAGCCCTGGCCGACTGTGTGGAGTCTGCATGTTCTCCCTGTGCCTGCATGGGTTCTCTCCAGCTTCCTCCCACAGTGCAAAGACATGCAGCTTAGGTTGACTGGTGACTCTAGATCACCCATAGGAGTGAGTGTGTGGTTGTTTGTCTACATGTCAGCCCTGTGACAGACTGGCGACCTGTCCAGGGTTCATCAGTGAACGTCATAAAAATGCAGTCGTATTTGCTGTGATTTCCCTGTTCACTTTTAAAACAGCACCACTTCCTGTGGATACACTTGCAGACAGCTTCTCTCGGCAGGTTGGTTGTTGCAGCACCGAGACACTGCCTCAACGTCTCCTGTGTCTCAAGATTCAAGCTTCAGTTCTTTAACGTAGCTGAATGTGTTGGGGAGCTCACTCAGGACAGAAACCGGGTCACCCAACAAGAAGAAAAAGGTCAAAACCAAATGGTGTTATTGGTGAACGTGTCCAACATATATTTTGGTAAGAGGCTGCTGCATTTTAATAATTAAGAAGAAGTCCACTCAGTCACTCTTTGCTATTAGCGCTGCTCATATTCGGTGTATATGTACCATGCTAGCCTATAGCAGAGCAGCCAACAGGGTGAACTTCCTGTAAATGGATTCCAGCACATCACTGGCATGTCTTTTCTTCCTTTGGCTTCTTCTGTGTGATTCAACTTTGACATACTCCCAGTTGTGGCTCCACCTTCTGAGGATCAACTCGGGCTCTGGAACTAAAGCTCTCATTTGCATCCTGACGTTTTCAGCACAGGGAATCGAACACCCAACTTAGCTGGCTTTACTGTGCTCCTCCTCCTTATTGAGGCACATTTTCAATATTTCATCCTCCCGTGAACCTGCAGAGAGCCCTCCAGGACCCCCGCAGAGACTCCACGCCTCACTCTGAGAGCCCCTAATAACCTACAGTTCTCGTCTGTCCTCCGAAACAAAGCACTGCACTAATAAAACGTCCCAATTGAGCTGATTAAATACCAATAAAAACACACAGCTCGCCTCTGCCAGCCTGCAGTCTAAATTGGATCGCAGCTCTAAGCAGCAGCTCCTAATGAAAACCACCGCCGCAGCCCAGCCTCGCTCACCCACAATACAGTTTACCTCTCGCTCTCGCTGTAATGAAATCAAATGAATTGGACTGGAGGTTTCAGGGGAGACATGCTAGACCCCCTTATAGAATTAGGACTGAACTGTATGTGTGTTTAATGTGATGTGTGTCCTTGCATTTTCTAAGTACAACCACATGACCACCGGCTCATGATGTGCATTATGCATTTGACACAAGCAGCCTCTGCAGAGTGTGCATCTGTGTGGGTCTGCCTGTGTTAGTGCTGCGTGTGTTTACATTCCAGGCTGTGTTAGTGAGCTGTGACCAGGTGAAGTGCAGCAGACAGAATCAGGACAGTCAACCTGCTGTTATCCCTCAGGACAACACACAAACACACAGTCAGCCGGAGCTCCGGCAGCCAAACAACACACCCTCAACCTCCGCAAACACAAAAGTTTCTCCTGATGTCGTGGTGCGTTCAGGTGCCATTAGGGCTCAGACATTTCCAGCACTAACTGAAATGTGCCTGTAGCATCAAGTATGAAAATCTGCCATAGTCACACCTCGACTTTATAGTAGCTACATACTGGATGTTCAGTAAAGGAACAAGGGCCTCACAGTGACACAGGTGAGTGACAAACCCAAACCCAGTTGCAACTACCGCCACACAAAGTTTCCATGTTTCACACACGGGGGGTGGATGAACAGCCTCACAGTAGGGTGAGAAAAATGCCTTGAATTAATAGATTATTAATAATCAATGCTATTCTTCTTCTTCTTCTTCTTCTGGCTGTTCCTGTTAGGCGTCACCACAGCGAATCACCCATTTCCACCTAACTCTATTCTTGGCATCCTCTACTCTCACCCCAGCTAACTTCATATCTATATAATGAATGCTATTATTATTTATAATGTTAATGTTTGCTTGGGGGGGCTGTGGCACCCTGCCGCCCCCCTTTGATTATCTTATAAACATACAGAAACCAGCAAAACCTAGAAGAACTGGGAAGAACTAGATGAAGCACAGGGTTTAAATATTTGAAACTAAAGACAGAATCCTGGCTTTTCCCTGAAACATCAGGGTTTAGAACCTGTGGCAAACGGCACAGAAGAATTAGGACTGAACTGTATGTGTGTTTGTGTAAGAGTGTAAGAGTAAGACCCACTGTGAACCCCCCCCACCCACCACCACCACCACCATCAGTGTCCCAGGACACAATACATGTGGACTGGAGGGGGATCGAACCACCAGCCCTGCAGCTAGGGGATGACTCGCTGTACCTCCTGAGCCACGACCGCACCACAACTTTCTCTAATTTACACACACACACACACACACACACACACTCTCTCTCACGCACAGCAACCTCTCTCACACACACACAGAAATCAGCTGTCATCAGTTTCTCTGACTTGCTATAAAAACACAACAAGTCAATAATTCCCCGTCGTGTCTCTCTACATCCATTCTGGAGGCAGCCTGTCATTTCTGCAGACACGCATGCCTTTCTATTAAGCCGGCCATCAGTCCGTTAAAGATCATGTCTCTGTTTCCTCATTTGATTTCTTCTCCCCATCCTGGGTGACAGACAGCAGCTGACACAGAAATCGGTTTTTGTCCTAAAGACCCGACTGAAGACACAAACTTACAGTTTTCAACAAAATAAGACCAATGAACTAAAGGCCTTACTGTGATAGATGGCGAGCGTAGCTAACACTTTAACTTTACATTTCTAGAGCGTGACACCTCCACTTAGCTCATGTGTGAGTGGCCTCACCTCAGTCCAACAAAACAGGGGCAGAACAGGCCCGACCCCGGTTCACAGTGGGTCTTACTCTGCTGTTGGAAAGTCAATCGAATGGCCACAGATAGAAACAACTAGACACAAAGCAACCACAAAGACACACAAACAAGTGAAAATACACTAAATGAGTAAAGAGACTAAACATCTACGACACAAAATGAGTTTAAGAAAAGAGAGAAATGAAACCCGTCCCTGCAAAACTGTAGATTCCTTTATTCCAGTTTGAGTCATCAGCTTTTTGTTAGTCTAGAAGGACAAAAGACACTTCACTCTAAATGTGTGTCACTGAAGTTTCTGTCCTCGTAGTGGTCTCAGGGAGACAGACAGGTGGCCTGGCCGGCCAGTCAGGTGACAGGCCGGACAGAAAGCCGGAGACAGGCGCCCCCCCTGCCCGAAAATGACAGCTAAATCTCTCCCCCTGTAATCCAACTAATAATGTTACCCTCTTAATATTTCCCCTCTTCCCACGCTGATGGATGGGGTCAGGCTGCGATTCCCCCGGCTGAGGGCGCAGGTCAAAGCAGAGCCTCGGCTCTCTGCTCTGCAACTGTAATGGGAGCTGAAATATTAGTCCTCACCGCCTGCAGACGCCCTGACGCCTCAGCACAGATGATGAATTAACTGCTATGAGGAATTACAGATGGAGCATTTTGAAGACACACACTCATTTCCTGCGCATCTACACACCTCCACATGCAAATGATTGATAATAGACATCACTGAAATCAACTTTGTGTCTTCTTTTTATCCCCTCTCACACACACACACACACACACACACACACACACTTCCTTACGTATGCTAATGATTGATCGTGGGCTCCGGTCGATGCTGCCTCCATCATTGCTGTTATTTATTCAGCCGTTCGGAGCGGCTCTTGGCCTCTTGCTGTCTAATATCAAATTGTTTTTTAAATGCATTTTGACGACTGATGTGAAAATGCAATCAGGCCAAAACTATGAATCCATATTAAAAACACTCATAAACACACACACACACACACACACACACACACACACGGTTCCAACCACCAGGTTCCTCTGCTGCTTTAACGAAGCCACACTCTGCCGTCAGACAACCACTGCTCTGAAACTGTCCAAAGCAGCAGCAGCTTTGTTTTCTCAGCCTGCTGTGCAAGTCTCATAATGGGGCGACAGCGTTTCTGCTTTTCCTATGGTTAAGAAACCTCATGAGTAAACTGAGACCAGTGAATGTGTCCAACAGAAAATCTGCCGTCCAAGGGGTCTCACCGTCCTGCTGCCGCACATCCCCAGAGGACCCAGCGTGGACTAAGTTCTTGTTCTGTTGTTCACTTCACCTGTCTGCAGTCACGTTACGGCCAATCCTGTGTTTTTGTGAGGAGTTTTCAAAGACAGGAGCCAATGGGCTTGGAGCAGGGAGCCGCAACAGGAAGTACTGAAAGACAGGCCTACTAGTTACTGCTCTGGAAAGTATATTAAGTAACGACCCCAACACTGCCAGAGCCAGTCATCTGTAAAATACAGAGCAGTGCATTGTGGGATTGACAGCAGGAAGCAGTGCACATCAGAATCAGATGACATAACATCTGGGGGCAACAGTGTTTAGAGCTACACAGTCAGCGAGCGTGGGGCCCCCTGGACATGGAGCGTCAGGGGCCTTTGACCCAGTTTACTGCTTTTTACATTTATTACTCCAGGTGTCACTGTCCTCCAAATCCGAGGTCATGGTTCTCAGTCGGAAAAGGGTGGTTTGCTCCCTTCAGGTTGGTGGAGAGTTCCTGCCTCAAGTGGAGGAGTTCAAGTATCTTGGGGTCTTGTTCACGAGTGAGGGAAGGATGGAACGGGAGATTGACAGGCGGATCGGTGCAGCTTCTGCAGTAATGCGGTCGATGTACCGGTCCGTCGTGGTGAAAAAGGAGCTGAGCTGTAAGGCGAAGCTCTCGATTTACTGGTCAATCTATGTTCTGACTCTCACCTATGGTCATGAGCTTTGGGTCATGCCCGAAAGGGCAAGATCCCGGATACAGGCGGCCGAAATGAGTTTTCTCCGCAGGGTGGCCGGGCGCACCCTTAGAGATAGGGTTGAGGAGCTCGGTCACCTGGGAGGAGCTCAGAGTAGAACCGCTGCTCCTCCACATCAAGAGGAGCCAGCTGAGGTGGCTCGGGCATCTGTTTCGGATGCCTCCTGGGCGCCTTCCTAGGGAGGTGTTCCAGGCATGTCCCACCGGGAGGAGGCCCCGGGGAAGACCCAGGACATGCTGGAGGGACTATGTCTCTCGGCTGGCCTGGGAACGCCTCAGCATTCCCCCGGAGGAGCTGGAGGAAGTGTCTGGAGAGAGGGAGGTCTGGGCATCTTTGCTCAGACTGCTGCCCCCGCGACCCGGTCCCGGATAAGCGGAGGAAAATGGATGGATGTATGGATGTATGGACATTTATTACTTATTTTTTATTTTCTAACTTGACATGTTGCTCACCTGTAACTTGTTTTATTTTTCAGATGGTAAAATGTGAAGTGAAATCACCGTCAAGCTGGATGCCTTCATTTTGAATGATGACACAAACAACCACCACCACCACCACCACCAGGGGGTTTACCCCAACCTCAGCTACAGCCCTGCATTCAGTCTTGACCTCTGCTAATCCCGCAGTCAGAAAGTAACAGTAATTTATGAAACGTATCAACATAAAACCGTGTCAACAATCCGTGTTGCATTCAGGTTCAGTACAAACCGCTGCAGTGTCACCGACTGTTTCACGGCTCTTAGTTATTTTTACCTGTAGTGTCACAGGTGAACACGGCGGTAAACGAGGCTTCGACTAATGGACATTTTGCTCGGTCTCACTCCCTACTGCCCTTTGACCTCACGCTGAACGAATGCAGTGAAATGAAGTGGGAATCAATTCTCATGTTAACTCAAACTAAAGCTGAGCTGAAATCCTCCAGACTTCTGGTGTGTATCTGTAACCTCATAGTGACGTCGGGTTTCTACAAACTAGAAACATGTAGCACAACATACATCTACACCCACCGTAGATCACATGTGTCGGACTTACCTGTTCAGGTGAGTGTGCACATGCTTCCTCTACCATCACCTGGAGCACAGAAAGTGTGTCGCTGGCCGCTGTTCAACGCACTGAGATGAAACTGTGCCTCGGAAGCTCTTGAAAACAAACACAAATGAAGCCATGTTGTCGTTCTCTGACCCACTCTCACGTCGGTCCCCTCGTTCTCCTCCACAGGTGTGAATGATTACGGTCTTGATCCGTCGGAGCGGGTCGTGGCCAGCTGTGTGTGTGGAAACAACCCATTTCCCTCCCAAACGGAAACTTTTCGTGAAGAAACGGCTGATTTTTTTTGTGACAATGCATTTGTCAGATACTCCAGTAGGATTCTACAGGTTAGTTACAAAACTAGGACTGTGGTCACTGATTAAGGAGGTCAGAATCCCTCAGTTTATCCAAATATGATTTAAAGTGGCCATGAGCCTTAACAGGAAACGTGGACCAGGCTCAAACACTGACATTTGCCTCTTGTTGGTCCTCAGTGTCCCACTGTCTTCTCTTTGAATGCAGCACTTCTTCTTCTTATTAATATACAAATGTACAATATAACACAAACAGATAAACGTCCAAACAACAAGACTATGAAACAAAACTACTAACATTAGTAGTAGTTGGGAGCGGCTGTGGTTCAGGAGGTAGAGCAGGTCGTTTCCTAACCGGTTCGATTCCCAGCTTGTCCAGTCCACATGTCGAAGTGTCCTTGAGCAAGACATTGAACCCCAAGTTGCTCCCGGTGATGTCACCAGTGTGTGGATGTGTGAATGGCCAAATAGTGTGAAAGCGCTTTGAGTGTTCTGTAAAGGACAGAAAGGTGCTGTACAAATATAAGACCATTTACATTTGGCCCAAGTTGTGATAAAGCAGAATACGCTGACTGTGGTGGAATTATTCAGAAATGAACTGAGAGTCTGAACAGAACTCACAGACGCAACAGGACACAGTGTTTTCAGTGTAGGAGTAATGAGCTAACGTGCACAGTGATGTTCTGTTATGGGAATGGTCATAACTAGGATTTCAGAAATACTGTACACACGAGTCCAACAGAGGAAGTAGATGCTGTGTGTACAGAATAACAACCACAATGACAACATTACAAACTGTAAACATATATGATCCTCGAGGACACTGAGCTACTTGCAGGTGCCACCGACAGGCCTCGTCTCCAGACAAAGACCTGGAAAGAGGACTAGAAGTTCACACATAAAGGACAGAGGAACAAACACACAGAAGGAGACAAAGGGAAGGACATCATGAGCACTCAGAGAGAGACAAGTGTCTGGGACCGCTGAAGGACGAGGACCAGCACAGCCAGGACGGGCGATGGACATGGAGGAGAGAGAGGGGCACAGCCTGGAGGCAGCACACAGACGGGGCCAGAGGGATGCAGGAAGGTTTGCAGGAGAACATGAACTAGACTGTACTGACTACAGCTCCAACCCCCTGTGTCCGACCCCCTGTGTCTGACCCCCTGTGTCCGACCCACGGTGTCCGACCCCTCTGTCTCCGACCCCTCTGTGTCTGACCCCCTGTGTCTGACCCCCTGTGTCCGACCCACGGCGTCCGACCCCGTGTCGTCCTCATGAAGCCATTCAGTGACCTAGAGCTGCAGCCATGAGTCAGTTCACTGGTAGAAAATGAACCTCAGCTATTTAGAAGCAACAGTCACCGACATGTTCTGGTTCCACCTTCTTTAATGTGAGGAGCTGATGCTTTTCTTTGTCAGACATGAGAATCAGCTGAGTCTCTGTGGATCTGTTGGTTGGACACAACGAGACGTGTGGAGACGCCACCTTTGGCTCTGGAGAGTCACAGTGGGACTTTTCCCCAGTGTCTGACATTCTGGGGACAAACTGATCAATCAGATGATCAGGACGGTGATCAGCTGATCAGTGACCCTGCTGGTTGTGTCTTCTCTCACTTGTCAGTGTCTGTGGATTTATTAGAGACTGAGACTGACCCTCCAGCTGGGGAACGGTAACTAGCACAGGGTCAGGAGGAGTCAGGCCCATGGCAGCAGCTGAGAGGGAAGGTGTACAGGTGAATTTTAAGTTTGGATTTAAAGGCCTCAGCAGAGTCAGACAGTCTGGACTCATAGAACTCATAGGTGGAACTACACATATGACCTCAGCGCCCTGAGCTGCAGCTACGGCTCTGACCTGGGTCAGATGTTTAGGTCAGTGGTGTTTCAGCCGGACTCTGTGTGGGTGAGAACCCCCCGACGCTCCCTCCCTCCTGCAGTCGGTGTAAACCTCTGTTCATCTGCAGGGCGTCGATCATCAATGGATCACTCTGATTGTTGCGAACAAACTCCTGATGACTTCAGCGTATTATATACACCCCCTAATGTGGGATCAGCTTCTGAGTGAATCTGTTTTCAATCTCCTTCCATTTTCTCCTGTCATCCCCAGACTAAAGTACATTATGGTGCAGCTGATGATGAAGGGATGCTCTGCTCATCAGGGAGAAGAGGAGAGGAAAATGAAGAAGGGATTGCGGAGGCTTTCCGCTGCGCTACTAGAAGATCATTACAGGGTGGAGAGAGGCTCGAGAAGGTGCTTTACTCTGCGTGTGCGTGTGATTGAACACACACGTCGGCTCATTTTCATTCAACACTGATGCAAATGGTTTGAAACACATCCCCACCCTGCAGCATTCTAATAACACAAATACTTTTAAATGTAACTTTCATTCAGAGTGTTTCAGTGAACAGTGATTGCATCCCGTGGGCGAGTGAGTGTTTTCCTCCCCTGTCTGAATACCAGAAGAGCCGAGCGTCCGACGGCCAATCCTTCATGAGCAGCTCCTGTGGAGGCGGCGGCGTCACTCTCACTGTCTGAGGCTGGTTTCTGTCCTTCAGACAAAACTGTCTTCATCTCTTAGTCCTTCAATGGTCCCCGATGTAATACTAGTCTATTATTACTATTTCTGTTGGTTTACTTATTTGCATGTGAAATTCACCGTATTTATATTTGTTTCCAAAAATGATGTCTACATTTTATTAATTTGCAACAGGAAATGCAACTGGAGGAAAGTGTGACGAGCCCTGGAGGAGTTTTTAAACTGTTATGAGAAGATGTTTCCAGTGAACATCAGCAAACTGTTCAGTCTGTTTTCATTAGTATTATTATTTTATTGTTCACAGTATATATGCTGTTGCATTATGTGCTCTCTTGTATAGCACACGTATGATTTCTGGAGTATTATTTATGTAATGATATACTGTATAGTTTACCATACTGCTCTAGTAGTAGTACTTTTTTAAAATTACTATATTATTGCATGCTACAAATATTATTTACCATAAAGGTAAAATGTTATTTTAATATCATACTGTTAATATCACTATTGTTCATTGAGTATTTCTCAGTTTGCACCGTGTTACTGTTTGTCATCATGTTTTCCTTCAGGAGGATTAAAGCTGTGTCTTCTCTTAAATAACTTGATGAATGTTCTCTGATGGTGGTGCATTGGAGCAGTGGTTAGCACTGTCGCCACACAGCAAGACGGTTTTGGGTTCGAGCTCGGGGGCCATTCTACATGGAGTGTGTTCTCCCTGCGCCCGCCCAGGTTCTCTCCAGGTACCCCTGCTTCCTGCCACAGTACGAAGCCCGAGTTCCTCAGCAACATGGACACACCGGGACTCTACTGGTTCTACCGCACCACATTCAAGGAGCCATATTTACAAAACACAAACTAGCATAAAGGATCCCAGCTGCACGGAGGAGGCCCTCAGCTGTGTCACGAGTGCAGCCATTTGTTGTGCTTGGTGTAAACTTGAGGACGACCGCCCTCCCGCCCGCTGAGCAGAGCAGGAGCAGATTCATTCAAGCTGTGGACAGTGAACGTTTTGACATTTAAAGCCTTTAACTAATCAGTCTGTCTGCGCTTTATCCCTTTTCTCCGACTTCACAGCAAGGGAGGAGATCATTTGAGCGCTCTGTCTGTTTGATGTACGCTAATCACATGTGATCTTTTCAACAGGGAGCTGGCCGTCTTGTTAATTTGGCTGTTGGTGCGCGGCCAGACCCCCCTGCCTTCCCCCAATCAGGCCTCTGCCTGAAGTGTAATTGCAGAGCCACCATGCTTCGATGCGCTCGACCTTCATGACCTTAAAAGCCATTTCCATTTTTCTGACCACAAAAAAGAGCATATCTTGTTAATTGCAAAAAGGCAAATATTCTCCCTCCTCTGCTCTCCCCTCTCTTTCCTCCACATTTGATTTCCCTTTGAAGGCAAAACGCTGAAAAGCATTTCCATTTTCATTCATCAGCGCTTATCAGTCATCTGAAGGCCCCTTCAGCCACAATCAACATCACAGCTCCGACCGAGAGGGACGCCACAATGAGAAACGATCAACAATCGCAAGAAGCAATTTGCTTTAATGTGGAGAGTGTTTTGTTGCAGCTAACTGCTATTTTTTAATCCTCTGGCAGCTCTCCTCTGCTGCTCTGTGGAAGACAGAGGGAAGTATCACAGTGCGGCATCATGACTGACTTAAATACACAGTTCAGAGCAGCAGCTGCCACCGAGAAGCCACAGGAGACTTTTGCTGATCGCTCGGAGCTGCCGGAAGACTGCTGAGCCAGGCATTAAACCAACTGCTCTGGGCATCTGCCCGGCATCCAGCAGTCAGCGTCCTCCGGCAGCTGCCAGTGTGCAGGAGGTCCTTTAGTCACATGGCCCGTGCTGATATGACTCACACACACACAGGTGACCTGCGTCTGGTTTTTATTTACCAAAGAAGATTTGTTTACTGTATTTGTTCTTGTTGTTTGTTTCCTGATACTGTGGAGAACTGTGGTTTGCTGATTTACAGGTTTGGTACAACAGCTTCCTTCAGGATGAATAAAGTTGTCTGGTCTTAAACAGCGTCCGTTATGAAAACGTAAATGTGATGAATGTTTTATGAGAAACAGGATGTGTTTACATTTCAGTTAGCGACTTTCCTTCATTTCCCAGAATTCCTTTCAACAAACCTTTGGGGGGTTTCTCTAATGAAACACACCTGACCTGAAGGTAAACCAAGGTAAGAACATCAGCTAAAGGAAATGTACTTGGATAGATTTCTAAATGAAGTGATGACAGGAGTAGAGAAACACTCTGCATTCATTTGCATGTATCTGTGCATTTTCTCTGTAGGCAAGACAAATCACATGGACTACATCAGATGTCACGGCAAAGGATGTCCCGGAGCAAGGAGGCTGCTGGAGGGATCTGAGCAAGGAGGCATGAGAGCATCTTTAGTGGACTGACACAACACTTTTCAAACATTTGTTGGAGGGAAGGACGTCTCATGTCTCTAACAAGGTGTTTCCTTGTTTCCTCTGTTCTTCTCTTGCATCTTATGTGGGTGGGACTAAGACACAGGAGGGAAATGTGGATGCAGTTAAGTGAAGTGGGATTTACCCGGCGCTGTTTGTTGCGTCCAGCGCTGTCCTACTGTGGCTGTAATGATCACTAGCAGGCGTGAGAGTCAGTGATCAGGGACAGTCTCTGTACTGAGGGACAAACTGACTTGGTGTGTCGCAGACAGAGGTGCACACAGGCCTTTGCATCCACACAGGCCATTCCTCTCCCCTCCCTCATCCATCCAAGTCATCCTGTTTCACAAGCTGACCTCCTCCTGACCAAGTAAACATTATTTAACGCTCAGTAATATCCTCAAAGTGTGTGTTTATCATCATATCAAATTATTTTCAGCTTTCGATTCTGCTTCTCCTCAGCAGTCAGTGTT